CACAGAGTTTGGTGTTCCAGAGGCCACAAGGAGTTTTAGACCCTGGACCCCAAACATTTTCCAAGACTCTTTTATATTATGACAGATAAGCCAGTCCTGCCTGATCTCTTCTACCAACACATTAGCATTCATGTCTTTCAAACTGAAGAACTTCTTTTGGCATTTTTTATAAGGCAGATCTGGTGTTGATGAATTCCCTCAGCTTCTATTTGTCTGAGAAAGTCTTTATCTGTCTTTCATGTTTGAAGGATATTGTTAGGTACAGTGTTCTTGGATAGCGATTTTCTTTCTTCAGAACTTTGAATATAGCATCCCAGTCTATCCTGGCCTTCAAGGTTTCTGCCGATAAATCTATTGAAAGCCATATAGGAGCTCCATTGAATATGATACGATTCTTTTCTTTTGATGCTTTGAATATTTCTTCTTTGTCTTTGATTTTTGCTAATTTGATTATGATGTGACTTGGGAAATTCCTCTTTGGGTTGAATTTGTTTGATGACATCTGAGCTTTCTGTTCCTGGATGCTGTTGTCTTTCTCCAGATTTGGAGAATTTTCAGCCTTACTCTTTTAATATGCTTTCTAGGCCCTTTTTTTCTCTCATCTCTTTTGGGAATGCTAATTTTGCAGAAGTTAGTTTGCTTGAATGTGTCCCATAATTCTCATAGGCTTTTTAAAATTTTTCTTTTTGCTAGGTAATTTCATATGTTCTGCCTTCAGGCTCACTAGTTCTTTCCTCTGTTTGGTTAAGTTTGCTGTTGAAGCTTTCTAGTGAGTTTTTCACTTCAGTTACATTCTTTATTTCTAGGATTTATATTTGATTTTTAAAAATTGTTTCTATTCGTATTTCTCATTTTATTTTTCAAATTTGATTTAGTTTTCTATTTGGATTTTTGTGTGTGTGTGTAAATCCTTAAAATTCTTTAAGAGGATTACCCTGAATTGCCTGTCAGACATTTCATAGATTTTCAGTTTTTCCGGATCTGTTGCTGGAGCTCTACTGGTTTTGTTTGGTAGTGTAATATTTCCCTGACCTAAGTTGATGCTTGTGTATTTGAAGAGATAGCTACTGCTTCCACTTTTTGCAGGTTTGCTTTGGTAGTACTAGATCTTTACTTCTTAGTTTCAGAACTTGAACCATGGCCTCTTGTTTTTTTCTTGGTCTGGCAAGAACTTATAGTGAACGCTGGAATTTAAACAGTATTCCAGAACCAAGTCACTGCACTTCTGTTCTTTCTGAGTCTGGTGAAGACTCTTAGTACTGGAACACTGCGCTGGAACTATATTGCTGGCCTTACATTATTTCCCAACCTGGGAAATACTTAAGTGGGTACTGCAACTTAATCCCGGCCTTTAAGTTGTTTCCAGGCCAAGGAAAGACTTTATACAGTCACCTGGGCTTTGTGGAAAATATATCTAGGGATTTGATCCTTCCTGTGGATTATGCCCCTTGCAGTGCTTTTGTATTGGCCACTCCCTTCAACATGGCGTCCCCACTGGTCAATGTGCCAAGTGGCCACCAAGATCTGTGCACCAGTTACTGTGATCAGCACCCTATTCTTTCTCCCCAGTGAACCCCAGGTTTTTCTGGCCTCCTGGCACTCCCAGTGGTTTCTGTGGGATGGAACTGGAGTGATCTTCTTGTGAAGATTCCCAGACTAGCAAGGAGAGCAATTTTCCACTTCTAATTCCCTCTTATCTTAGCAATCATGGGTCGAGGGCAATTCTCTTTGAGTTTTGCTGGCATGTAGGGAGGGGGCAGTTGGCACAGTGTGAAATGACTATTTTTCTTACTAATCATAGTTTCTTGATTCTGTGGGCCCAAAGGGTTTCTCCACTTCTCTTCAGAGTTCTAGCATATTCAAGTGGTATTCTTGTGTTTGAATAGTTTCTGGTTGTATTTTTGTAGGGGGAGTGATGCTGGGCAGTCTTCTGTTCCACCATCTTGCTGATATCAGAACACCAAAAAAATTTTTGTTAGAATATCTTCCACAGAAATCCAGAAGAATGAGCCTCCATTAGTTTTTGTTTCTTTGTGAAAATTAGGCCAATTCTTATGCAAATGAAAGCTTCACTCCGTAAGTGTATTTTAGGTCCCTGTCTTGGAGAAACTTACAGTTTAATGACTTGATTAATGATCTCTTTTATCATTCTTCCATCATTTAATATGGTGACTTAGAAAATCTTAAATAAGCTGTGGAGTATCCCCAGGAGTTCCATGATCAGCTTTCAAAGATACTTAAATGTACACATCCACACACATATAGTGTCTTATAGTCTAGTCATAAGCTTTTCACAGTGTTAACCAATCATCCAAAAAGTAGTAAGATCTGTCTGAAATCAATATTTTAATACATCATCAAAAATTCCACATTTTAATACTCAAAATTTAAGCAAATTCCTCAGTGCCTCATTTATATGCACTAAATGGAATTATTTAAATTGGTACAACTGGGCATGGGGCTCATCCCCATAACTCCAGCACTTTGAGAGGCCAAGGCAGGTGGAAGACTTGAGGTCAGGAGTTCGAGATCAGCCTGACCAACATGGTGAAACCGTATCTCTACTAAAAATACAAAAAATTAGCCTGGCATAGTGGCACACGCCTGTAATTCTAAACGCTCCAGAGGCTGAGACAGGAGAATCTCTTGAGCTCAGGAGGTGGAGGGTGCAGTGAGCAGAGATCATGCCATTGCCGTCTAGCCAGGGTGACAGAGTGAGACTTCATCTCAAAAAAACATAAAATAAGCCGAGCGCGGTGGCTCAGGCCTGTAATCCCAGCACTTTTGAGAGACTGAGGCAGGTGGATTGCTTGAGGTCAGGAGTTTAAGACCAGCCTGGCCAACATGGTGAAACCCCATCTCTACTAGAAAGAACAAAAATTAGCCACGTATGGTGGCAGGCACCTGTAATCTCAGCAACTTGGGAGGCTGAGAGGCACAAGAATCGCTTGAATCTAGGAGGCAGAGATTGGGCCACTGCACTCCAGCCTGGGTGACAGAGCGAGACTCTGTCTCAAAAAATAATAAATAAATAGATTGGTATATTTCAGTTATCAGGGATATTCCTATTTTCCGTTTACCATCCCTCTGAAAGTCACCCATTAAACAGAACCTTCTCTTAAGTGGTAGCTGTATAGATACAGCTTCAAGATAAGTTCTCTAGTCCACTAATATGCCTTCCTCTTCACTCACCCCCCAGAAAAACTCAGCTTCTCTGTAATCGTTTTCTGCTAGAGATTGGTTTCTTATATCACATGAAATTATTCTCGTTTTATTCAGTTATATTACCTCTCATTTGAGAGGCCTACTCTGACTTTTACATATAAACTAGTACATGCTATATACATATACCTTTTTTTTCTTTATAACCAGCAACAGTATATATTTGTCTACCGTTTATTCACTAAAGTGAGAGCTCCAAGAGAACAGGGATTTTGTCGTTGTTTGCTCCTAATATCCCTTTTACCTAGAGCAATGCCTAGAAATAAGGTACCTTAGCAATTTTTTTTTTTTTTTGAGACGGAGTCTCACTCTGTCACCCAGGCTGGAATGCAGTGGCACCATTGGGGCTCACTGCAAGCTTCACCTCCCGAGTTCACGCCATTCTTCTGCCTCAGCCTCCCTAGTAGCTGGGACTAAGGTGCCCACCCCCACGCCCGGCTAACTTTTTGTATTTTTAGTAGAGACAGGGTTTCACCGTGTGAGCCAGGATGATCTCGATCTCCTGACCTCGTGATCTGCCTGCCTCGGCCTCCCAAAGTGCTAGGATTACAGGCGTGAGCTACCGTGTCCGGCCAACTTAGCAGTTTTTAAGTTTTGTTAGAATAAATCTAAACAAATTAAAAATTTCGCTTTTTTTGGCCATATTTCATATGTTTTGCTACTACATGATATTTTTATTAATTTATCATTAATGTCATTTTACTAAAAACTGTTGGGTTCATGGGTAATGTTTCTAGATAATAAGGTGTGAATTTTTGTAATTATTGCTGAAACATTTGGTTATATGTTGTAATTATATGACTGTGAAATCAGTGTTTTAAGAAAATAGAACTCAGGGCCAAGGCAGGCATATCACTTGAGGTCAGGAGTTTGAGACCAGCCTGGCCAATGTGGTGAAACCTCATCTCTACTAAAAATACAAAAGTTAGCCCAGCGTGGTGGTGGGCACCTGTAATTTCAGCTACTTGGAAGGCTGAGGCAGGAGAATTGCTTGAACCTGGGAGGCAAAGGTTGCAGTGAGCCAAGATCATGCCACTCACTGCACTCCAGCCTGGGTGACAGAGCGAGACACCGTCTCAAAAACAAAAAAAGAAAAAAGAAAATAGAACCCATTTTAAAATTATATATTCTAGTATCAGTCATACAGGATAATAACAGTGCTTGTCATTTTCACACATATTTGAACATTGTTCATCAGTAAAAGTTTCCCTTTACATTTTATGTCTAGTTTGACCTATATGACATTGTTCAGATTCCACCATTTTCCGACCTATAATGACATCAGTTACATTTTTGTATTGAAATAGATGAATAATCTGATCTCTGATATTCTTTTTTTTTTTTTTTGAGACGGAGTCTCTGTCGCCCAGGCTGGAGTGCAGTGGTGCAATCTCAGCTCTCTGCAAGCTCCGCCTCCCGGGTTCATGCCATTCTCCTGCCTCAACCTGCTAAGTAGCTGGAACTACAGGCACCCGCCACCATGCCCAGCTAATTTTTTGTATGTTTAGTAGAGATGGGATTTCACTGTGTTAGCCGGGGTGATCTTGATCTCCTTACCTCATGATCCACCTGCCTTGGCCTCCAAAGTGCTGGGGTTATAGGCATGAGCCAGTGCATCTGGCCTGATCTCTGATACACTTTTCTCTCCATACCGCCCCCCCCCGCCCCGCCCCATTTTTTGTTGTTGTTGCTGTTAAACACTGAAATGATTTGTGTGGTGAGGGAACACTACAGTTCATATTCATGTAACTTTGCAATGCCCTGTTATTTATTTCCAGGCTATTTAGCAGACATGACCCACAAGCAGAAGAAGCATTAGCAAAGAGGAGGGGAAGAAACAGTCCGAATGGAAACCTCATTAGGATGCTGGTTCTTTTCTTTCTTGAAAGTGAGGTAAAAAATGTTTTAAGATAACTCATTTGTTTTTATTATATTACATGTTAAATAAAATTGTCATTTCATTTTAATTTTTTTTAAATCAAATAAAAACAAGTCTGTTTCTTATAAAGTTGCCTTCATGAATTGCATGATATAGAAGCAGTCCTTTACCTTTTGTGGAAAGAATTTCTGAATATACATGTAGGTGTGGATCAATACTGAATACAGACTGGCAATTGTTAAACTTTTACAGTATTGCAATACTGCATAACTTTTTTTTTTTTTTCTTTTGAGACAGGGTCTCACTCTGTCGCCCAGGCTGGGGTACAGGGGTGCGGTCTTGGCTCACTGCAGCCTCTGCCTCCCAGGTTCAAGGGATTGTCCTACCTCACTCAGCCTCCTGAGTAGCTGGGACTACAGGTGCTCACTACCATGCCCAGCTAATTTTTGTTTCTTTAGTAGAGACGGATTTTCACCATGTTGGCCAGGCTGGTCTTGAATTCCTGACTTCAGGTCATCCACCTGCCTTGATCTCTCAAAGTGCTGGGATTATGGTCATGAGCCACCGTGCCCAGCCTGCATACCTTTTTTTTATTGTTCCCTCTTTTGTTTTTATGCCTATAGCTGTTACATCACATTAAACAGTTTTTGAAAATTGTCAGACTGTCAATAACACTAGTTTTATCTTGTTTGAAAATTATTTAGTAAGGAGAAAGAAAAATATGAATTCATGTTTTGATATTTGTACAAGCCTCATAGCAATGTTTTTATGTGCTATATTCAGTTATTGCTTAAACAATTTTGTAATTAACACTTATATGTCAGGATCTGTTTTTGCAAGTAAGCTTTGGTTTTTCCACCAAAATGGTGTGGTTTTTTTTTTGTTTGTTTTGTTTTTTGTTTTTTAATCTATTTCCTACTACTGCCGTGTCATGGGGAAATGGTAAATTAAATCTGAAGAACTCCTGAATAACTTCTTCATTTAGAAATGGTTGAAAATAGAGTTGCAGGCCACGTGCAGTGGCTCAGGCTTGTAATCCCAGCACTTTGGGAGGCCGAGGTGGGCAGATCACTTGAGGCCAGGAGTTTAAGATCAGCCTGGCTAGTATAGCAAAAGTCCGTCTCTACTAAAAATAGAAAAAAATTAGCTGGGCGTGGTGGCACACACCTAATCACAGCTAATTAAGAGGCCGAGGCACAAGAATCGCTTGAACCCAGGAAGCAGAGATTGCATGCAGTGAGCCGAGATTTTGTACCACTGCACTCCACCCTTTGCCACAGAGCCAGATTCTGTCTCAAAAAAAATTAAAATAAATAAGCAAACAAAATAGAGTTGCAAAAGAAGTAGAGAACATCTGGAAACCTAGGACTCTCAATTTTATTTGTTAAAAAGTGTTTTTGATTTGTGCTAAAATGTCAGTGAAGAAGAGAAACGATTCTATGAATGCTCAAGTTTGAGAGTAAGAGGGGAACTTCGTAGGAATAAGGAAGAGAGACACAAACAGGTAGCCTGTATGAAAATTAAAATTGGAGAAGTAAACTCAGTCAGTGGAATGAAGGGTGTTAGGGCAAAATAGCAGAAAGTGGTGAAAGAGTTGCTGCTATTTTTTAAGAGAGTTACCAATGAATAGAGAAATAAAGTCAGAAACAAAACTAGCTAGAGAGTTGAATTTGAGTAAAGAATGTGTTTAATAGTGTTTTAAATGTGTATACAAATTACCTGAGGATCTTGTTAAAATGCCAGTTCTGATTCAGTAGCTCTAGAACGGGGCCTGAGATTCTGCATTTCTAACAGTCTCCAAGATAGTGCTTATGCTCCTGGTCCAAGGATCACACTTTGCATACTAATGATTTGAAGCATTATTTTCTTAACAAGCCAGGGTAGATATATTACAGAATAAAATGCAGAATGTGAATTTTTTTGGTAAAACACTAACTACCCCATAAATATCACATGTCTAGTAAACCATCTCAACTTATACTCTTATCTCCCTTAGGTTTTAGAGGAATGGAATAAAAAGTAGCCAGGCATGGTGGCTACTTGGGAGGCTAAGGTGGGAGGATCCCTTGAGCCCAGGAGTTGCACAGGCTGTGCAGTAAGCTATGATTGCACCATTTGCACTCCAGCCTGTGCAAGACCTAGTCTCTTAAAAAAAAAAAAAAAAAAAAGCAACAATAGTTTCAGAAATTGATAAGTATGAGATAACTACTGAAAAGTTTAGGGAATATGATGATCTTCGCTAACTGACTTTGATTATTAATTAAAGGAAAATGTTTTTTATCTCTGAAAGCTCAAGGACTTTTCAATTTATTAAAAGGCATGAATACTTAGTTTCAGGCTGTTTGTCGTTTATTTAAAGAAGTAATTTGTAATGTTTATTACTGCACAATTTTCAGATGGTCTTACTGTATTCCTGTGTTTGCTACCATTTTCTAAAGTCTTACAACAGTATTAGAATGTATTTGTCAGTTATCCTGTATTGCATTTCTTTTTTTTTTTTTCCTTTTTTTTTTTGGAGGCAGTGTCTTGCTCTGTCACTCAGGCTGGAGTGCAGTGGCATGATCTCAGCTCACTGCAACCTCTGTCTCCCAGATTCAAGCAGTTCTCATACTTTAGCCTCCAAGTAGCTGGGACTACAAGTGTGTACCACTATGCCTGGCTAATTTTTGTATTTTTGGTAGAGACAGGGTTTCACCATGTTGGTCTGGCTGGTCTCGAACTCCTAACCTCAAGTGGTCCACCTGCCTCGGCCTTCCAAAGTGCTGGAATTATAGGCGTGAGCCACCACACCTGGCCCTGTATTGCATTCTGGACAGCTACAAAAGAAACTGCAAATAGTATTGAAAGGTTGATTCTTATGATTCATGGTGTTTATATTGACTTTTATGGTCTCCTGTGTTTCACAAGAAATTTTCTTTGTGAAAAATCTCTGCTCTTTTTATACTTGTGTTCCCCCAGGATGAATGCTTAATTAAGCCATATTCTTATAGTGTGATGGTATTCCAATTATGCTCTACTCTGAATTTCTCTTTGTTTTACTGTCACACACTTTAATTGGTAAAATTTAGTAATAGACTTGTGAAATACTAAATTGAAAGAGACTTTAGAAATAATAAAGTAGAGGGAGTCTTTTTAGGGGTATGGAATCTTGCTGGAGTGCAGTGGTGCAATCTCAGCTCACTGCAACCTCTGCCTCCTGGGTTCAAGCGATTCTCCCATCTCAGCCTCCCGAGTAGCTGGGATTACAGGCATGTGCCACCACGTCTGGCTAATCTTTATATTTTTAGTAGAGATGGGGTTTCGCCATATTGGCCAGGCTGGACTTGAACTCCTGACCTCAAGTGATCCACCCTCCTCAGCTTCCGAAAGTGCTGAGATTACAGGCATGAAGCACTGTCTGCAGCCAAGGGAGTCTTTTATAGATGAGTTACAGACTGATACGGTTTGGCCCTATCCCCACCCACATCTCATCTTGAATTGTAATAATCCCCACGTGTCAAGGATGGGACCAGGTGGAGATAATTGAATCATAAGGGCAGTTTTTCTTACTCGATTCTCATGGTAGTAAATAAGTCTCACGAGATCTGATGTTTTTATCAATGGGAGTTCCCCTGCACAAGCTCTCTTGCCTGCCACCATGTAAGATGTCCCTTTGTTCTTCCTTCATCTTTTGCCATGATTGTGAGGCGTCCCCAGTCATGTGGATCTGTGAGTCCATTAAACCTCTTTCACTTAAAAATTTCCCAGTCTCGGATATGTCTTTATTAGCAGCATGAGAACAGACAAATACACAGACATCTACCTGGGATAAACTGAACTGATTATTTTACCGAAATGAGAAGTAGTAACATTTTAATAGAATTATAAAATGCTGTATTGAAATCAGTTTACAGTGCAGGTAAAATGTGATTAAGAGATCTGCCTAAACAAGTCTGTAACTTTATTTTCTTTTGGTACCAAAAGGTGATTTTTTAAGATGTTTTAACCTGTGACAGCCATTGATTTCAGATGACAAAATACCTTGTATTTTAGATGCACGCCAGATAGTTGGATAAGTCGTACTTGAATGTGATGAGTCTGGATTTCCCTAGAGGTAGTATGACTCCAGAATTTATTATAAAAAGTGTGATGCAGCCAGGTGCAGTGGCTCACGCCTGTAATCCTAGCACTTTGGGAGGCTGAGGCGGGCAGATCACGAGGTCAGGAGATCAAGACCATCCTGGCTAACATGGTGAAACCCCGTCTCTACTAGAAATGCAAAAAATTAGCCGGGCCTGGTGGCGGGCACTTGTAGTTCCAGCTACTTTGAGGCTGAGGCAGGAGAATAACATGAACCCAGGAGGCAGAGCTTACAGAGAGCCGAGATTGTGCTACTGTCCTCCAGCCTGGGTGACAGTGTGAGACTCCAGCTCAAAAAAAAATAAAAAGTGTGATGCTTTGCTTTTCAGAGGGATAAGGATGCTAGATGCTATTAGTAATTATTTCAAAACAACAAGAACAACCCAGAACATTTCTGGATAATCTGGCAGTATGGTCACCCTTCTTCTTCTTCTTTTTTTTTGGCGGGGGAGACCAAATCTCGCTCTGTTGCCAGACTGGAGTGCAGTGGTGCTATCTTGGCCCACTGCAACCTCCACCTCCTGGGTTCAAGTGATTCTCCTGCCTCAGCCTCCTGAGTAGGTGGGACTGCAGTCATGTGACACCACGCCCAGCTAATTTTTGTGTTTTTAGTAGAGATGGGGGTTTTACCATGTTTGCCAGATGGTCTCAATCTCTTGACCTCATGATTTGCCCACCGTGGCCTCCCAAAATGCTGGGATTACAAGCATGAGCCACCACGCCCGGCCAGTGACCCTTCTTATGAATGACAAGGCTAATTGTGACAGTCATTTTAGACAGGAAAATTGACAGCTTATTGTAGATGTGTTGAAGACATTTCCCAAAGAAGCCAGGCGTGATGGCTCATGCCTGTAATCCCAGCAATTTGGGAGGCTGAGGCAGGTGGATTACCTGAGGTCAAGAGTTCGAGACCAGCCTGGCCAACATAGTAAAACCTAGTCTCTACTAAAAATACAAAAATTAGCAGGGTGGTGTGGTGGCATGCACCTATAGTCCCAGCTACTCAGGAGCCTGAGGCAGGAGAATTGCTTGAATCCGTGAGGCAGGAGGTGGCAGTGAGCCGAGATCACACCACTGCTTCCTGGGCCACAGAGCGGGACTCTGTGTCAAAAGTATGAAAGAAACTAAGGTACGGTATAGATTAAGAAATTTTATTATATTGCATAGTAGGAGCTATGTAATAGAACAGAAACAATGAAGGGAGGCCAGGCATGGTGGCTCATGCCTGTAATCCCAACACTTGGGGAGAATGAGGCAGGCAGATCACTTGAGGTCAGGAGTTCAGGACCCGCCTGGCCAACGTGGTGAAAGCCTGTCTCTACTAAAAATATAAAAATTAGCCTGGTGTGGTGGCAGGTGCCTGTAATCCCAGCTACTCGGGAGGCTGAGGCAGGAGAATCACTTGAACCCGGGAGGCGGAGGTTGCAGTGAGCCAAGATCACGCCACAGCATTCCAGCCTGGGCGACAGAGTGAGACTGCGTCTGAAAATAAAATAATTAAAAAAAAAACAATGAAAGGAAAGAACTAAATTGAAGGACATACAGTCAGATTACTGCCTAATAGACTCTAAATGCAGATTATTACTTGAACATGTTTTCTCGGGAAGTGAAAAATCAATACAATAAAAGGAAAAGAGGAGTAAAAGAAACACTGGTGAGCAAATAAATTTGAAAAAAAATCCCTTAGAGCTAAACCTAAAAACTATGACATTGATGTTTAAGGCAAATATCTATTAATTTTTTAAATGTAGGAGTATAATGTTCAAATTAAATGAAGAGAAGTGATAAACAGGCTAAAGATTTTGGTAATGGAAAAATGTTGGAAAATAAAACCATGAATGAAGGACAGATAAAGTAATCAAGGAAACATCACAAATAGAGTACAGAGAATAAAATGCCAGCAATATTTTCAGTAGTAATCCCAATAAATGTAAATAAATTAACATGTTTTATTAAAATGCAGATTATCATTTGGGATTGAAATAAATGAAAAATAGCTATATGCTATTTACAAACACATCTTAAAATAAATTAGAGGAAGTTTATAAATAATAGGCTGGATAAAGGCTGGAAATAACTAATAAATGGTTACACAAAGATAGCAGAGGGGGCAATATCAATACAAGATAAACCAGAATTAAAGACCAAAAACATTAAAAGGGATAGAAAGGGGATATTTTATATTTATTGAAGGTATACTCTGCCAAATATATACAATTGTAAATCTTTATATACCTATTCTACAGAAAATACTCATAATCAAGCATAAAAGCATATTCAGCTGAATTTTTTTTTTTTGAGACGGGAGTCTCGCTCTGTCGCCCAGGCTGGAGTGCAGTGGCCGGATCTCAGCTCACTGCAAGCTCCGCCTCCCGGGTTTACGCCATTCTCCTGCCTCAGCCTCCCGAGTAGCTGGGACTACAGGCGCCCGCCACCTCGCCCGGCTATTTTTTTTTTTTTTTTTTTTAGTAGAGACGGGGTTTCACTGTGTTAGCCAGGATGGTCTCGATCTCCTGACCTTGTGATCCGCCCGTCTCGGCCTCCCAAAGTGCTGGAATTACAGGCTTGAGCCACCGCGCCCGGCCTCAGCTGGTTTTTTTATTGTAAAATATATAAAACAAAATTTACCTTGTTAAGTATACAGTTCATTGGCATTAAGTACGTTTATATTCCTAGGTAATCATCACTGCCATTTATCTCCAGAAATTTTTCAAATCTTCCCAAACTGAAACTCTGCCCGTTAAACAGTAACTCTTTAATTTAGCATGGGTTAATAGCAACAGTTTTGAAACAGTTTATTTTTCTTTTTTCTGCTGCGATTGTTCGTCTTTGACTCTTGAGTTGTGCACCTCTTGTGCCTGTCACTGTTGGAGTAATGTTATGGATGGTCTAAGGATAGTTTCTCAGAATATATGAATTAGGAAAGTTTGAAGATACCTGCCTCAAACTTTGCCTATATTATTTACAAGCAAAGATGCCAATCAATATTATTTACTCTTGCTTTGATGGAATTCACTGGGACATGTTGTATGTATTTGAAATGCAATTGAAATGAAGTACTGAATTAAGTGTTAGAAGAGGCAGAGCATTACATAAGTCATTAAAATTCACACTGAAACCAGCCTAGTAACGTGGTAAACCCATCTCTACATACACACACACAAAAAAAGCGCAGGGTGAGGTTGCACAGTCCTATAGTCCCAGGTACTCCAGGGGCTAAGGTCAGAGGATCACTTGAGCCCAGGAAGTCAAGGCTGCAGTGAGCCATGATTACGCCAGCACACTGCAGCCTGCGCAACAATACTGTGAGACCCTGTCTCCAAAGGGGGGAAAAAAGTCACACCGACGAGTGATTATAGAGTTAGAAATGAGGAAGAAATCCAACTCAGGTGCTGAATGTGCCAGGATGACAGTAGATAACCGATGGTAGATCTAGAAGGGTGACTTTCATACTTTTGGGCCACTACTGATGATGAGAAAAACATTACCTCTCAGAAGTACAAGCACATATAACAAATTACAGTTAATAAAATAGTATTTACCCTTTCTATGTGCTATGCACTGTTTCTACTGTGCATCATTTTTTGAATCTTTGTTCTCAGTGCATTGAATTGGTTTAACAACCCAAGAATGGGTTGCAGTCTGTAGTTCGACTAACACTGATTACCAGGACTGTTTATCTGAATGTAATGAGCCTCAAAAGTGGAAGATCTTTCATATTAGGGTGGAGAAGTTACTTGTAAGTAGAAGAAATCAGAACAATGCCAACACCTTCTGCTTCATTAGAGTAATATTCTCAGGGCCCAGCACAGTGGCACACACCTGTAATCCTAGCACTTTGGCAGGCCGAGGCAGGCAGATCTCTTGAGGTCAGGAGTTGAAGGCCAGCCTGGCCATCATGATGAAACCCCATCTCTACTAAAAATACAAAAATTAGCCAGGTATGGTGGCGTGGGCCTGTAATCCCAGCTACACGGGAGGCTGAGGCAGGAGAATCACTTGAACGCCGGAGGTGGAGGTTGCAGTGAGCTGAGGTTACACCACTGCACTCCAGCCTGGGCAATAGAGCAAGACTCCATCTCAAAAAAAAAAGGATAATATTCTTCAAGCCTTAATGGCTGTCTAGTGGTAGAGTTTGGTGTGAAGTGTTTGATGAAGACCTTAACTATTTACTGTGGGAACATGGGCTCCAAAGAAAATTGTCAAGAGAATAATGACCAACAAAAAATGGGGATGGAGTAAGGAATGAAATGAGTCCAGTGGAAATGAGAGAATAGTGGAGACATGGAGTAACTTACATTTTTTACTTTGACTAAGATGACAGAGATGTGAAGTAAGTACAGCTGGTCCAAAAGTTTCTAATGGAATTCTGAGGGAAAATGATTAATTTCCTTTAAAAAATAAAAATAAAAATAAAGATAGTTGAAGAGACCACAAGGAATAGTGAAAAGTTACCTAGATCTAACATATAACTTCAGAAAATTTTCTAACTAGCTATGCAGTTTCCTCATCTATAAATGATGTCATTGGTCTAGGAGATCCTTACTTTTACTACCGTAAATGGTAAAAAGTCAAATCTGCATACTGCATCCACACTATTGACAGTGGAATGTGAATATATATATTGTTCTCTAAGTGGTTTTTAGAATCATGGAGACCAAGCCATTTTAATTATGAAGAAAATGATTTCTTAAATTAGTATTAGTAGTTTGTTTGTTAAATATTCTTGGGTCACACTTGATTTCTTCTTTTTAGTTACATGAACATGCAGCCTACTTGGTGGACAGTTTATGGGAGAGCTCTCAAGAACTGTTGAAAGACTGGGAATGTATGACAGAGTTGCTATTAGAAGAACCTGTTCAAGGAGAGGAAGGTATAGTATTTTGACAAGTTAATTTACATGATTTTGTATTTCCATTGATAGCAATACAGTTGTATATAGATCGCTTCTTAAAAACGAGCAATACAGTTGTATATAGACCACTTCTTATATAAGCATGCTGTGTCTTTTTGCCAAGAGAACAATTTGTTTTCTATAACAAGGATGTCTGAATTGTTTCTAAACATTTTTCTGTATTAACACTGCCACCATGCCACAAAAGGTTTTAAAAATCCATATGCGTCATATAATAAAAAAGTTTTTCTTTACTTTTTCCTTTTTAAATTTAAGTGACAGGGTCTTGCTCTGTCACCCAGGCTGGAGTGCAGTGGCCCAATCATAGCTCACTGCAGCCTTTGAACTACTGGGTTCTAAGGATCCTCCCACCTGAGACTATGGGCACATGCCACCACATTCAGCTAATTTTTAAATTTTTTGTGGAGAGGGGATCTTACTGTGGTCCCCAGACTGCCTCAAGTAATCTTCCTGCCTCAGCCTTCCAAAGTGCTGGGATTACAGCATGAGCCACTGCACCTGGCCATAAAGGTTTTCTCGATGCTGATTTGAGATACAAAATACTGATGTAACTTAATGGTTTTTTCTTTTTTAAGTGCATCTGGAGTTTTTTGTTTGTTTGTTTGTTTTTTTGCTTGATTTATATATGAACTTGGGGAAAACCTTTTATACATAATGATTTAATTAAACCACAGCCATCCCCTTTTGTTATATTTTCTTTAAGATGAAAATCAGGAAATCAGAGATAAGGTCATTTACCTGGCTGTTCAAGAAACGGGGACGTAAGAGTAACATGATAATTTTTGAAGTATGCATCTTTTTATATGCTACTTAATAATATACACAGCAAATTGAACATGTATACCTAATAAAGAGGTTGTGTTCTAAAAGCTTATATGCATATTAGCTTGTTAGAACTAGAAATGCTTTTGCCTATGTATGGTTAGGTTTTCAGACTAGCCCACAATAGTACTTTAAAGGACTGGTAACTCATTTAATTCATACAGCAGCCTTAGAAGGTGAGTGATGCCTTGATGTAAGGCCCACAGTAGATTGAACATGGTCTTCAGAATCAAAAGAAAATTTTTTGTGTGTGTGATTGAGTCTTGCTCTGTCGCCCAGGCTGGAGTACAGTGGCACATTCTCGGCTCACTGCAACCTCTGCCTCCCGGATTCATGCAATTCTTCTGCCTCAGGCTCCTGAGTAGCTGGGACTGCAGGCACATGCCACCACGCCCAGCTAATTTTTGTGCTTTTATTAGAGACAGGATTTCGCCATGTTGACCAGGTTGGTCTTGAACTCCTGACCTCAGGTGATCCTCCCACCTTGGCCTATCATAGTGCTTGAATTACAGGCGTGAGCCACCGCATCTGGCCAGAATCTAAAGAAATATTAATTCAGATTTTTAACTCTGTCTCTTGTTACTTATGTCCTCAAATTTTCTGATCCTTAGTTTGCCTTTTTCTATAACAGAGATTATTTCCTTGTGTACCTTATATAGCTGTGAAGATTAAGAAAGATAATGTTCTATTGAGTCCCTTTTCTGCTTCCTGTACCCTTCTGTGTGGTTCATCCTTTTGAAATATTATAAGAGCATAATGAGCCATCCTCTGCAGTAGAATGCCCATACAGATTACTGGGAGAATGAGCATCCCCCAGTGTTCCTTCCAAGCAATGATACTAATTTGTATTATCTATTCTGGCTTTGACATAATTCAGTGAGAGAAACAAGTTCATGTTAAACCTAGATACACACTGGTAAACTGGCCCAAAATGCCTCTTCTAAACTAAAAACATTTTTCTTATTTACTATGTATGATACAAATTCTTCCCAGACTTTTCTCAGACCTTTCAAGGAAGATCTTATTATGCTTTATTTGTCTCTAGCTGTAATTGTTATTTACTTTATTTGCACATGTTTTTTCATTCCATGTATCCTCAGTAAGAAAGTGGCCCTAGACCAGGCGTGATGACTCATGCCAGTAATCCCAGCACTTTGGGAGGCTGAGGTAGGCGGATCACCTGAAGTCAGGAGTTCAAGACCAGCCTGGCCAACATGGCAAAACCCCATCTCTACTAGGTTTGGTGGCGGGCACTTGTAATCCCATCTACTCGAGAGGCTGAGGCAGGAGGATCACTTAAACCCTGGAGGCAGAGATTGCAGTGAGCTGAGATCTCGCTGCTTCACTCCACCCTGGGCAACAGAGCGAGACTTCATCTCAAAAAAAAAAAAAAAAGAAGATGGTCCTGTTGTTAAGTTGACAGGGCTTTCTGCTCACTAGGTAAAACTGTCCAGTGTATTTTGAATTCCCTTCACTTTTGTGATCACAGGACTATGAACATACGCTCTGTTGCCCAGGTTGGAGTGCAGTGATGTGATTCTCAGCTTACTGCGACTTCTGCCTCCTCAGCTTAAGCAATCCTCCAACCTCAACCTCCCAAGTAGCTGGGACTACAGGCGTGCACCACCATGCCTAATTTTTTGTATTTTCAGTAGAAATGGGGTTTCGCCATGTTGCCTAAGCTGGTCTCAAACTCCTGGGCTCAAACAGTCCTCCTGCCTCAGCCTCCCAAAGTGCTGAGATTACAGGCGTGAGCCACCACTACTCCCCAGCTTACACATTCTGTTTCTAACTAACCTTAATATTTTCCCTGATAGAAATCAATTTCCCTCTAATGTCTACTGCCTTAACACTTGAGTAAAGGGCCTCAGGTTAGTATTCAATGGTAGATTCCATTCATTTTCCTTACCTTGTTTGTAGTCATAAAATTGCCAGAATAAGTTAGAGCTTCTCATTCCTTATTCTAACTCATTTTCTGTATATCACCCCATGTTGTATAAGGTTATTTCCAAGGAGAAGGGAGGCAAAGAATATAAATTAAGGGCCAGGTGCAGTGGCTCACGCCTATAATCCCAGCACTTTGGGAGGCCAAGGTGGGTGGATCACAAGGTCAGGAGATCAAGACCATCCTGGCTAACATGGTGAAACCCCGTCTTTACTAAAAATACAAAAAATTAGCCGGGCCTGGTGGCGGGTGCCGGTAGTCCCAGCTACTCTGGAGGCTGAGGCAGGAGAATGGCGTGAACCTGGTTGATGAAGCTTGCAGTGAGCCAAGATCACACCACTGCACTCCAGCCTGGGCAACAGAGTGAGACTCTGTCTCCAAAAATAAATAAATAAATAAATATAAAAATCAAGAAGAGACAAGATAGTATGCTTTGGTATTGTTAACTTTCTCTCATGTTAATAAGATGTATAAGTCAGTAAATAATAATTACTAAGTCTTTTAGTCATGAAGGTGGTCTAGGTGCATTTTACTTGTTAAAATATATACTGTTAGGTGTTTCATTGTGGTTTAAATTCTGTTTACAGTGAGTTTTTTTTAACTTCCGGTCAAAAGGTTGGTTTGGCTTGGCTTGGGTTTGGTTGGTTGGTCTTAGGTAGAAAAGTAACTTACCAGATGGGAACAGTTTTAAAAGTCAACTACAGTTTTACTGATTGAATCTAGGTAGGTAGAGTCTAGGAAATTAGGCATAACAGTTGCAAAACTTTATCTACATAATGGCTTAATTTTTTTAATACATTTTATCTGTAGGCATGTTGTACCACATGCATACCACATATAAGCTCTGGCATGGAGTGGCATCTAAGTTAATTTTCTGTGCTAGTATTTTGCTGTATTTTATGATAACAAAATGCTACCAGTAACTTTTTTTTAAAGTAATTTTTTAGATAGGTGGAATATGTTAGAATTCCAATGGAGAAGGCTCTAGTTAGCAGTTGAAGATGTAGGACTAAATTTTGGGAAAATAGACACACTGTGACAGACTACCAACATCAGTTTAAATCACAGTGGCCTTAAGACTGTCTTACAGTGTTTTTATGGGTGGGGGTGTGTGTGTATGTGTCAGGGAGTGTTTTACAGCAAAATCAAGTTGCTGAATAAATTTTTAGTATAATGTGAGGATCTGGTTCTTGTCAACAGCTCTGCCACCGGGTAACAAGACCATAACCAAATCATGTAACTTCTGGATGTCAGCTTCTTAAACTGTACAATGAGAAGCTTTATTTTTTATTTTTTTATGGGTTTTTTTTTTTTTTTTTTTTGAGACTGAGTCTCGCTTTCCCACCCAGGCTGTAGTGCAGTGGCGGATCTCGGCTCACTGCAACCTCCACCTCCTAGGTTCAAGCGATTCTCGTGTGTCAGCCTCTCTAGTAGCTGGGATTACAGGCGCCCACCACCACGCCTGGCTAATTTTTGTATTTTTAGTAGACATGGGTTTCACCATGTTGGCCAAGCTGGTCAGGAACTACTGACCTCAAGTGATCTGCCTGCCTCGGCCTCCCAAAGTGCTGAGATTACAGGCATGAGCCACCACACCCGGCTGAGAAACTTTAACTAGATAATCTTCTTTGGTCATTTCTAGTGCTAAAATTCTGCAATCCAGTTGATGAATGAAATAGCTATAAATAATAAGATTCTTAAAAGCAGGAATTATTAATTCATTAATAATTTAAAAATATTTATTGACTATATGAGTCAAATATTATGCTAAGTGCTGAGCGTATAGTGTTACAGTAGATGAGCTCACTGCCAATATGGAGCTTACATTCTCCTGGGAAAGGCAGACCAAAATTGAGTAAATATTCAAAATAAGTTCAAGAGTTAGTTATTAGCTTTGGTGGATAATTATAGGGGATCTATCTTTAGATTGAATCCTGATGGAAGACCTTCCTGAGTAGGCCACCTGTGAGCCAAGAAACTAAATGATAAGGCAGCCAGGCACGGTGGCTCATGCCTTTAATCCTAGCACTTTGGGCAGCCAAGGCTGGCAGATCACTTGCGGTTAGGAATTCGAGACCAGCCTGGCCAGCGTGGTGAAACCCCGTTTCTACTAAAAATCCAAAAAATTAGCTGGGTATGGTGGCATGCGCATTGTCATCCCAGCTACTCAGGAGACTGGGGCAGGAGAATC